ACACATAAACTACATAAAACACAGAGCACACTTTAATAAGCTGTTCAATTGATCATAGAACATTCTCCAAAGTAAAAACATGGGGAGGCAAGGAGATCCGATCTGTTACACTTCTGGGGAAAAAAGAGTATTTAAAAGCATTTGTGCGAACGAATATGGGAGTTATTTTTTGTGTGTGGTCATGTCTTGTCTGTTTAGTAGATGGCTGAACGTAGGATGATGACTCGAGGCGAAGTTTGTGATACCAAAACTGAAAATTGAATTTTAATCTAGCTACCTTCTTGCAATCTTCTAGAGCAGTGGTTCTCAAATGGGGGTCCGCGGACCCCTTGGGGTCCGCGAAGGCATTCTAGGGGTCCGCGAAGCCCGGCCTCATCAGTCAAGCCCAACAATAAAAGTTGTCTTTTCTCAGATTGAGAAGAAATGTTTCAGTTTTCGGGCGAACTTTTACGTGTGTTTGTCAATAAGAGAGGTCTGCTTAACACTAGCCTTTAGTTATATCCATTTATTTAATCAGTATTATATTTAACCCAAGCTTTTCCTCACTCATCATCATAAACGGGGTCCTCCGTCCTTTCCTCCGATCCAAAAGGGGTCCGCAAACCCCTTTTGGATCGGCGATCATTCCTCTAGAACAGTGGTTGAGAACCACTGTTCTAGAGGAATGATATTGGTTCTAATTATTTGGTAGTAGAGTCATGCCGGCGATAACAATTATATGTAAAACGAACTGCTAGTCTCTGGACCTGCTCAAGCCTGTTAATGTTTTTTCGAAAGGGATCCCATCTAGTGCAAGTGTACTCCAACCGAGACCTTATTAGTGTGCTATAAGCTAGAAGTTTGACATGACAAGTTTGTTATGTTTGAATAAAATACCGGAATGAGAAACCCTATCAAATGCTTTGCTCAAGTCGAGAAAAATTACGTCGACTCGGCCGGGTTTGTCGACTATTGAAGCGAAAGAATTAGTAGAAATAAGTTCTGTGGTAGTGGAAAGGCCTCTCCAGAAGCCATGCTGAAAGGCGAGATGATGTCATGCTTACCTAAGAATTCAGTCATGTTTTAGAAATTATATGTTCTAAGAGCTTACATTATGTGCTGGTAAGTTTTATGGGATGGTGATTAGTTAACAGTGAACAATGTCCCCTTTTAAAGGCAGGTACAACATGTGCAATATGCCAACCTAAGGAAACAACACATGAAAACAAGGAATGAAAAATGACAACAAGGAACGTAGCAAGTGATTCAGCGTGACGACGAAGGAAGGCGTGGCGAATATTATCAGGATCACACAATGATTTCGGCTTCAAATTTTACGAACTCGACTAATCTGGTTGAATTATCGAAAGAAGTCTGTCGCGGGCCAAGATGTGAAAACAGATTAAAATCAGTGGCCATTTTCTGCTTGTGACTCATGGTTTCTTCAATTCGAACGGAATCCACGGTTTTCTGTTCATTTGTAGTGAGAATGTGCCAAAATTTTGTTGCATGTTAGAATAGGAAAACTCTCTACCTGCACGAATTTTTGTCATAAGTGTTTGCTTTAAATTTCGACTAGTGGAACTGTTGGACCAAAGCTTTCCACTGATTTATTTTTTGTACCAGATGAATTGGGTCTCGGGTGATCCAAAGGTTCTTAACGGTGTACGCTCAAGACAAAAACGGTGCAGTGTCGCTTTCAAGCCTTTCTTTTTGCGTCTAAACATATTTCTGGCCTCGTCATTTGCCAAGATTGCTCCGCGGACCACAGCAATTGGCTGTTCAAGCGCCCCGCAAGAAAGTTGACGGACAAGCATTTCTGAAAGTATGTTACGAATAAATCTGTGATGTTATTATGGCAGGTTCATTAGGCACGGCAAAAAGATACAAGTGAGCTGGTAAGAGTAAAATGATTGAAAAAATCCCCCAAACCAGGTTAGGCGTTTACTGAGCCTCCAAAAATCTTGTGTACTGCTCGGACACGAATTCTTCAATCCGTGCCACAACACACGCAGGTAGAACTCGCCTGTTATGCCAGCCCAGCCTCTGCCACAACCACCTGGCGAACTGCCGGTAGGCAACAAAACATAGCCGACTGCAAAGAACAAATATAATACATATAGTCGGCGAAGCACCGCTTGCATTTCGCACGAAATGAATCAACAATGTTGGTGCCGGGCCGTCGCACTGCTGCAGCACAGCCGAATCAAAGTTTGAGAGCTTACGTACTTCCTCGCTCCACGGTTCATTTGGAACCCTTGCTCTTGCAGCTCCCAGTACTTACATTACCCGTAGCACAACGGGGTCCAGACATAGAATGCGAAAATATGCATGGTTGATGCAGCCGTTGTTTTGAATTGGGACGGGGGCGGCGCACTCCCGGCAGCAGAAGCACTCTCGAGCGGTCGGCGCTAATATGCACCACTTGCAAGTGCACCTTCAAAGAAATATATCATTTTATATCTTTGTTACTTCCGTGCATCTGAATATACGGCCGAAACTTAACCTACCATTCCGTACTTTGAAGCCGCCCCACTCCTCGTCGTCCGATTCCGATGAAGAACTGGAGTCGTCGTCGAAAGACTCGCCGCACTTCTCAACAGGCATACCGGCGTATAGGACTAGTCCCATGCTGTCGCTATAGCGCAACATATCTAATTGCATCTCGCTCAGTTGCGATGTATTCATGGCTATCGCAGCGATGAGAGGCGCCGATTCAGAAAAACATCGATGACATCAGCGCCATCAGCGCAGTAAAACTAAAACCTACCGGCACACCGCCAACTCGCCGCTGCTAACGCTCCCATTCTCCTACTGCCGGGAGAACTTCCGGTTCCGGAAGCAGTGTACGTCACGACTTGTTTTGCGGTCAGTGGGAGAGAAAGAAAAAGTCGATATTTCATTAATTTTTTGTGTAAAAGTTAATGAACCGATGCGAAAACGGACGCCTGTTCGGCATTCAGTGAGCATTGACGGTTTAATGTAAAGGTTATCGGGCAAAAGTAGAAAAGGTCATTTCATGGTCCCTTTAAGCCAAAGTAAACTTATTTCATTATGACTACCCCTGACTTTTGGAAGATATTTGCATTCGTATTGCTTTATATTCTGCGATGTATTCCTTGTTTTATCAATGTGTGTGTGTGTGTATGTTTGTGTGCGTGCGTGCGTGGTGCGCGCGCTCGCATGTTTGTTCGCGTGTGTGTACACGGGTACGTGCGTGCGTGCGTGCGTGTGTGTGCGCGCGCGCGTTTGTGTTTGTGCGTGTGTGTGTGTTTGTCTGGTGAAATAGAAGAGGAAGAAGACTAGACCGACGAGAGAGGAAGATCAAATACTAAAGAATTGTGGATAGTCAGCTTTGTGTGTGTCCAGTCCTGTCTCTGTGTAATCATTTAGTGTTCTAGCTGTTTCCGCACGTGATTCTCCAACATATCGCTGTGTATATGAACGTAGAGGTGTTATTTATGTTATATTTGTTTTGCAGAAATATGGAAGGATGAGTAGAACTGAATAAATAGGGACTGAACAAAGGTAAGTTTCTCCTTTAGAAATAGACCTTACCAACGCGAAACCTTTAAAATAGCATAGCGGGTCACTGTGGCCTTCATTTTGGTACCCTAAACAAGTTGAAATTAAAGCCAATTCTATATCGTTTCTTATCCACCACAAGTTTGCATCGGCCCACAATTAAATTCGTTATGTAAAAAAAAAGAAAAAGTCCGCCGGGGGCGCGATAACACGAGTGATCAGAATATCATCTGCGCTTTAGGAAAAGTGGCCTTCCGTCTGCCGCACGAGTGTTAAATTTCGCGCACCAACACTTTTTCCACGTTCTTCAAGTCATCCTAAAACTGACTGATTCTAGCGGTTTCCGATGACTCACAGCCAATGTCTAACTTAGACCATATGTTTATTTTCACTAATTAGGAGTAATTAGTAAATTGTACATAAATAGCTTGCAAATTAGTATGTTTATGAAATTTCCGATGTTCGGCGTGGCTTACCGTTTTTTTTTCCAAAAATCAAACACACTACTTTTAAGAGTTTTTGAAAGTCTTCGCAGAAACACCCGGTATAGATGTGTCCCTAATGCACGCTGCACTTATACACCTAAAATAATTAAACTGTACTAAATTTAGCTTAAAGGAGCCATCAAAAACGGTTTGTAATTTCGCTAAATTCTACGTAGATTCACTCTGTAACATTAATCACTGAATAAACCTATCTCAGTTTTTCTTTTTATGCCGTGGCAGTCGGCAAAAACATTCGAGACATATAAGTATCGTTGATCCTCTCAACTCGGAGCTAGATCAAGCGGCTACGTGGCCTGGTGCTTATCCTATGCCTGCCAACGTTAATCAAAGCCACCCGCTGGGGTTAGGAAAGTAAAAGAGGTGGCATTGGGTCGTTATGAGCCGAAGTCGAGTGCTCACGCAGTTTTCGTGTCCAATCCATAGACCGCGCTCGACTGTCGTTAGGTGGGAGGTTTTGATCCCACATTCACGTCATCAAGCTTTACGAAATAGTCCCCTTTTGTCCTCGCAATGTCACCGCGACTAAGAAGCTTCTGAATCAGTGGCGGACTGTGTAAGTATACTTGGACCAGGCGCCTCTGCAAAGTCATTGACATTCCAACCCGATACCGTTTCATGACGCCTTTAAATATGTTTTTGTCATATTTGTTTGATTATACGGACAGATTCAACTCCAGCAGAAGAAGCGTTGCCTCTACACCTCTAAAAAAAAAGTGTTACTTGACAGGTGTCAAAATCCTGTAAACAAAGCATCTATATCGTTCGAGTTATTGGGGAAAAATAAGGCTCCCAACAAAAGCATTGCCTTCGAAATATAGTGTGCAAAATATAATGTTACATTTGTCCATGGAATTATATCGTTTTCGAGGATTATCTCTTCGTCAGCTAAAACACAGATCCCTTATCAAAAGCAGCTACCAATGTTTCTTTGCCCCGCTCTTCTAAGTATGTACTGAGTGACTGTAATCCATTCTCTAGTTTCTATTTACTCACTATAGGTATAGATCACTCCGGTACTTCTTTCCGCATCGTAGCGAGCCAGAAAAGCACCACTGGAAATTAAAACAAAAACACACACACATTTATTTAAGCGTTTAATAAATCACTTTCTCCATCAGCGTAACGTTGAGTATTATCTATAGAATCCTGGAGGAGCTACGGAACTACTGTATGGCTGATGTCCTCACATTGGAGTTAAAATAGATAACACATTTTACGCTTTTCTGCACACTTTGGAACCTTGAATTACGATAAAAATATTGTTAGAAAAACACCAGTAGTTGTGAGCTATCGTGTGTACACCTATAAGAAGAATTGATATTACTCGGTCGCGTATTCACGTTTAAAATAGGCAATGATGATGGCTATTTTAATATTATGTGCCCTGCCACTAGACTCTCATTACACGATTCATGCATTCCGGACGGCGCAATCAATCTGCCTAATCAGTGTCTCTGTGCAGATAATTTAAAGTGTGTACAATAAACCGTTACGGATTGTCAGAAACGAATTCTCCACCACATATTTCTTCCTAATAATCTTAGGGTAATCACATTTACTATACATGCCTACAGTTGTTACATTATTTTTAATTAGAAATTCGTGCATACGTACACAACGTAGGATTCAGTACTTCCATTTGTTGCTGCCCACGTGACACCTTCAATTAGTGTCGTTGCTTGACTCGTGCCGTCATAGAGAGCAGTAAAGTTAATGGTTCCTGGCGCATCAATACTGTTTCCGCTCTGGTAGCACTCGTAGAGAAGGATTGGTCTTGTTTCCGTGTCCTTAGAAAAAGGTCGAGCAAAGCCCACAGGTTAGGGGTTCAGCGCAATACTTGAGCTCTTTCACAGAGCTGCATAGCACAGTGTTGAACGAAGTTTGGTATAACAGACAATAGACATAAACTATGATTATTGTTTACGTTTAATGTGTAAGCTCACACTGAGATCACCATAACTATTAGGAAATCTTCTTTATTCAGTTTAGTGATGCTATTGTAAGACTAGATTGCATGCACAAAAGTGGTTCCACGGGAGTCCACTTGATGTTTCAGAATGGTGGACTGTAATATTTATTATACAGTTCAAAAATTCTAGTCTACGTTTCCATAGCGCGAACCTTAATTTTACATCAATGCGTCACTTTTTAAATTGACTACTTGTTGTTAATGCTTGAATACTAAACTTTAAGATATTTTATTATACGTGTATTTATCTAACTAAATTTGAACATGTGTCTTCGAAAAAGGCTGCCTTAAGATGCTTAAGAATAGAACATTCCACATTAATGAATGTAAAACGTGAACAGTGGTATTTAGACCAGTAGAATGAGACATGTTGAATATACCTGAGACTGGGGTAGAAAAACATAAAAGTCGAAGAAACAGTTTCTTCGACTTTTATGTTTTTCTACCCCAGTCTCACCCCAGTTTCTGTTTCTTCGACTTTTATGTTTTTCTACCCCAGTCTCAGGTATATTCAACATGGTTAACATCCACCAGCTCGCCTGCACCCTTACTATTGTATCTAGAATGAGACATCCTTATTTAGATCAAAGCCTTAACAGGATTAATTCATTGGTCGCACGACGTTGGAATATCAAAATAAGCGCACTTCCTTAGAATAAATATATTTATGTACAACTGTTAAATGCAGGAAAAAAAAGTTAATCTGAACGAATCTTTGAGATTACAAAGGAGCGTAAATTGATTACATGATTATTTACTGCATGCGCATTATGCTGTCGTAGTGCATGCCGAAACGCTTTACGTTGAATACAAAATTGAATAAAATTTGCGCTTAGAAGTAAATCTCTAGGATTGAAAATCAACCTAAGTCTTTCTCATCGAGTATCTTTCATATAACATAAAATAACAAAGACGTTGGGTAGAATAATTATGAATACAAAAATCACCAGTATATTATTTTTCTCCAGTTCTTTAACTACTTATAAATAAACCTCTTTGTAATAAATGTGCCGCCCTGCGAAATACGAGGTGGCATCAAAACGTTTTCGAACTCGTTTTAGAGAAGCGTACGAAGTTACCAAGTTTACTTTACTATTATGTCCCTCAAAGTAGTCTTCAGCCATCTCTCGTCAAAATTGTTAGTCCGGCAAGTTTTCGAGCTACCGCAACTAACTGTATTTTCGAAATCGCCGGCCTTTACTTTTTCCGGGAGGTTATTTAGTATCGCGAAATTGAGAATAGTTATTGTGGAATCGGCACATACATATAACGCCGAAACCAAAATTCATATATACTCGCGCTTTTCATTGCAGTGACATCAAGGGAAGGAAGGCTTGCTGGTCGAGCGGGCGACTATGCCGAACATTTGTTTCGTGCTGCTGCACGCGAGCTGAAGCGAATTTCCCAAAGCATTCGATAGACACACTGAGACTGTTTGTAATCAGTTGGGAACAAAGTCTACAGCCCAAAGAGTGAACCACTGCGTTCCTCTGACGTCAATATTTGATTGTTGCCAGTGGAGCCTTTCACTTTAAAAAGCACGGTGAGGACCAAAATTGTAAATTCAATAAGTTCGGGCATCTTTTTTTCTTTTTGCCCAATATTTGTATTACTATTTCAGCGACGTTGGTTAGCGTGTTTAGCGAATATTCAGGCAAATTGGGGACTATGAAAGAAACACCGCAATGCCCTTTGAAACGAATCGCGTTACTGTTAAAACCACGTTATATAAACCAAAGATTTGAGAACGATTTTGGTGAATACCCGCAGATTTGTCTCTTTATTATGGATGACTAGCATTATGGGCGATGCCTTGGGGGAACGATAAAGTTCATACCAATGAGTACTGACTGGATTAAAGCTGGCCAGCAGGTCTGCCATTGTAGAAAACCCTCGTGTAATTCAGGCTTTTCAGGATAACCCTCGTCTTTTCCCGAATCTGCTCGAGTAAGCCGTCTCTTAAGGCTTCAATAGAAAAAAAGAAATGCAAAGGCCACTAATGGCCAAATAAGGAGTATATGGATTGACTGCAGCTATGTTGTTCCGGACCAAAAACTGTACTTGAAGTCTTTGGAATGTATGTTTGTATTTTTCTCGCGATCGAGAGAATGTGTGGAACACACCTGGCGGACATTCGTTTCATGTTAAATTTGTCACTCGAAACAGCCGACGCGGACTTGACCAGACGTCCGAAATATTAATCTCACGGCCTCAATGAAGCAATACGCCCATTTTTTTAACCTCTTTCAGGATAAACGGTTGTTAAAGGCGTACTGTTTGTGAAATTGTCTTCAAGTGGTTGTTGACATGGCTTAAAAACCCACACCACTAACATATTTGTGCATTTCTTGGAACATGGCCACCAAATGCTTGCCGTAGAAGTCTCTGGGTTTCTGGCGTGTTGTTATTCATTTTTAAGTAAAACTTTTGTTCAGGCATTTCATTGAAGCTTTTTATTCATCTCGAGCGGAGTGAGCGCCGTAAAATATATTTTCTAAGCATAAAAGCGCAACTTGGAATCACTTTGATTCCTCAAAATTAAGTTTGGCCGACTGGCTGGCAAATCTGGCGGAAATATCCCCTGGCGTTGTGCTGCGGTACAATGCTCAATGTTCAGTGCTGCTAGTACAGGAACTTCTTAATGACTCCTCGTAGGAAACGCCCTAAACACACGTACGTTTCTCGTTAAGAAATTTGCAGGTCTAACTTCACCAGATGTCACGTGACTTTATTTATAATATTCAAGGAGAGTTTAAATTTGAAGTAAATCTGAGGAAATACAGCCCCAGTAAACACGGACGACGAACAAGAAACGAACCCGACAAGACAGTGTTCGTTTCTTGTTCGTCGTCAGTGTTTACTGAGGCTGTATTTAATCATGTTGAACTGATAACAAGTGGCCCAATTTACAACCCCAGCTTAAATAAATCCGCAAAGTCACTGCAAAATCATTTATAGTACTTGGACTTCAAATCCAGGAGATTAATAATTTTTACTGACGTTACTGGCGTTATATTAGAAAAATTGAAGGCCGTGAGAATAGCTGACAGCTTTAGAAATAGGGCCAGAGCTTGAGGGCCCTCATAAAATAGGGGCCTCCCACTGGGCATGCGTCGAACCCAAACTCAGTTTTGGGTTTTGGGTTGGCGCTCACCCCTAACGCAAAATTCGAGAAGTAGTGTGGGACGCCTATTTCATTGGGGCCGGGTGGCATCGGCAAACATGGCGGCGCCCTTTCCGCTCGCTTCGGAGGAAATTTGTCATGGTCACTGCCGTAAAAGCCATTTTTATTACCAGTGAATAGTGCAGCCAACTTTCGCTTCGCTTTATCTCGATCAAATAACAAAGAATAAGCGGTGAGCTCGCCCCATTTTAAGGATCGTTTTCAGCTTCTGGCCGCTCTTAAGCCTAAAGAGAAGCGGTAACCGTTGACATGCAGCATCTCGCTACTACGAGACCGCGAGTGGATTTCGTTCGTGGCACGGTTAGCAGTGGCTTAAAAAAAAGTTTCCCAAGACTTTAAAGTCGCTCCAACTAAGATCTAAATAAGGCATCTGCTCGCAGAGTATGCTCACTCGCGTTCGACTCAGTTTTGGCATAGTTGAATGTTTAAAGCATCCACGACAGACGCTCAAAGCCGCGCACGAACGCCGAAATCCGCCCGAGAGCGAGCGCCAAATTAGAGTGCTACGGATCGGATTGTTTTGGCTGAAAACAACTAATAATACATTGTCGCGTGCATGACTGCGAAGATACGCTTCCCCGTTCATCTAAAAGATTCGCCTACGCTCTTGCCCCCAGCGTCAACGATAAGGAGACCATAATGACCTCTCCTAGTCAGGCTCGCCGTAGCTCATTCCTGAACATTTTAGGTTGAATATTTCAGATGTCGAGCGTAGTAGATAAGAAGCGGTGCGCCGTATTGCCGATTGATTCATTGATTAATTTTCTCTCCCGATAGAAGCTGTTACGCCGACGTACCGTCGCCTGCTGCTGCCGCCGCTGACGCACGCTGCTGCTGCTTTCTCGACGTGTGTTCTTTTTCGTTTCTGGTACAAGTTAGCCCCCATGAAATCTTAAGTTCTTTCCTCTTTCGCCTGCCTCATCGCCTGCCCATTCGTGATAATATATACCGATTTAAACTGTCTTTTGTTTAGCCGGGTTGATTTGGTTTTGAATTAACTAATATTTGCAAACAAAAAGTAATTGCTAAGTGCGTAGGTTTTGCATTTTTCATAATTTCTCTTTTTTTTAATTGTTCTTGCTAACCGTATTGGCGCTGTAAGCGGGAAACGCACGTTCGCCGCGCTACGTTCGTAAAAAGCCTATTTTATAAGCCGGTGGCTTCAATCTTGATGCGTTTGGGTGCCTCGATTTCTTAGGGGCACCCAAACGCTGGGGCCGCCTATATTAAAGTTTTGTAGTGATTCTGCATTTTACTGCTTATTTTCGCAAAGTTTATATAACGCAGGAAAGAAGTGCTGAATTCCAGAAACCATGAGAAGTATTACTCTAACAGCATCAATTTTTCTTAATGTACATAGCCCATCATGTAATAGGCATGTGTGTAATAGTTAACAGTAATAACTCTTAAAAAGTTGAATCAACGACGGGAAAAAAACCCATCAAGATTCTACTACTTTAAGAGATACAATTTGTTTTTTTTATTCACTGCATTATATTTTTATCATGCATTTCAATCGTTTTTAGTGTTAATATAAAGCTACAATTCACACGTGTTAATACGGCCACATTCTCATACAACCGTTTCATGTTATTGTGTGTTACTTACATGTAGTTGAAATTATTATGGCTCAGATGTATAGAAGAACCGAATCGGCGCTCCCCAATCAATGGTGACAAAATTCTCATGTGGGGACAGGGTCAAAAATGATTATGCAAAAATTATCCGAAATAAAAGCAACAGGATTTAAACTTGAAAATAATACGAAGAAACAAATATGCTGTACTACTGGAGAGGGACGTAAAGAACTGACAAAAATAACATCACCAGACAATTGAAATACCCAACCTCGGCTGAAAGCTGGAGCGCCATCTTGTTTCTTTTAATATTTTTTGCATGTTTACGCTATCGTTTTCTGCTCGAATTGCAGGTGGCGCACCACGACGCCGTTGGTGCGAGCAAACCATACAAAATATTTTCACACTCAAAGTCAGTCTCGGTATTACATTTCCGAGGTAGAAGGGTGAAAAGAAGCTTCGCGTTTCAAAGTATGGTAAAACGTGCTTCTTGGAAATATTGCAACGGACACTCCGATATTTAAATTTCTTTAAACACAATAAATGCACAATTTGATTATCGTAACATATACCAAAGTAGCGCCTGAGTGCAATTTAAGGTTCACATTCAGTTGCCTACGTGTAATCTTTATAGTTGGTTCTACCGATCATAAGAAAATGTGCAAAGTGTTAGCCGTAGAACATAAACCAGCCATAGTTTTCAAATTGCTGATAGTTCACCAAAGCGGAGATCTACTGGTGACAAAATATGCAAAGGGTTGAACCTTCCTTGCATCATTATACAATTAGAATGGTTTTGGGAAGGTTTTTTATTCATCGGGTGCCTTAGAGATGGTGGTAGCTTTTATTTTTTTTCGGTGATGTCTTGACGTAAAAGTTGCCTCTCATACAGGTCGCATTGAAATGAGATGTAGCATCATCTACGAGTTGCCATGTCAACTCGGTATTCAGGAAGCCTATTGGGTTAAAACTTTCTCATCTTGCTTTTGATATTTTTATTGCTATCTAGTGAAATTCATTATTCAACTATACACAGTTCATTATTGTGCCGATGCAACCCTTGCACGTGTCCGCGGGACCACCCGGTAAACAGTAAATAACTTCCATAACCTTTTAATTCAGCATATTTCTCTTTGCAAGCCCGGAGAATAATATCTATAAGACAAGTGCAACATACTTTAAGGAATTGTTCCGTCGGGTTGCTGGAGTAGCAAGTAGCGAGAAGAGAAGAACAAAGCATTATCATCAGCTTGACTGTTGTCATCGTGAACTAGTTCTGAAAAATACAAAGAAAATCATTAGAAAGGGTTCGAAGATAGCTAACAGGAAATCTACAAATATTGGCGGTCGATATAGATTTATACAAATTAAAACCAGCGATGTATCATGCTGCCTTGAATATGAGATGCTCATTTGTGTGATTTAATATAGGTAAATTTGACCTGGGTATGTAATTTCAGTACACATTTACAGGTGTGGCTTTAGATGTGTCGATAAGAATACCAAAAAAGAAGTAGATCCAATTTGAGTCATAGGACATTCGACGAAATATAACGACAATCAGGACTAAGAATATGCTTGCAAAATGAATCAGATGAAATACAAAATATTTTGACCAAACTTATCTAATTATGCATTGAAATCCATTCATCAGCTGTACAAGATGCAGATTAAACGAGGAGAGAAAAAAGCCCTGAGCAAAAAGAAACATTGCCCAAACGCGTGGCGTCCGCGTGTAAAGAGGATTGGGCGCTTGGAAAGAAAATATCAGTTCAAAATTAATTATTCCTTGGCATAGGATATGGAGGTGTAACACCAGAAAAAATATTTTATCCAATGCTACCTTACCTATAAAAGAGGGATTTATGCAAATAAAGCCATTTTCCAACATTTATTACTACGAAGTCTCTAAAATAGAAGTACGCCAAGTAAAAAGTCGGTATTTCTGCTCTTACCATATATTTGTCATTAAACGTTTCTTTCCCTTTCATCATTTTTTAATGATACGTGTACTAAACCGTGGCCTGATATTGACGTGACTAAAATACCGCGAAGGATGCCGAACAAAATATTTGATTACAGTGGCATTTGATATACCCAGTTATAACTTATTAGCAATGTTATTGACAATTACGCACCCCAGTATATACGGCATGCGAAATACACAAACTATCTGAAATGTGCGCCGCAATACTGGGATTTAAATTAATAGCCATCAGTGATGTCGTTTTATATAAACGACCAAGTTTCATAGTTGGTGGGGTCGAAATTGGGCTTTGTATGGGATTTAAAAACCTAAATGCCTAAAAATGCCAAGGTGCAACCAAACTTAATGTTCACTGCCCAGAGTCATGGGTATTCTTACCCTAAATTGGCAAACCAGTACCGGAATTAGGCGCCTTCCTGCTATGTTGTTGGGTTGTCACCTGGCTCATTTTGACCTTTGTTCACGGGCAAATGCTAGAATTAGGTTTCATTTCTAGTCGTTTAACTTTCGCTTGGGAAGGATTTTCCCTAAATATCCAAGCAAGTGCCAGAACGTGGTTTCATTTCTTGGTGTGCCCCTAGAATTTCCAAACTTTTGCCAGGTTAGGCGGTCCTCTGGCGTTTTGCCTGCGAGACTTCAAAGTATATTTAAAATTTATGACAGGTGCCGCTTATCGGACTATACAGTCCAAGCACAAATTTCAGAATAAAATGTATATCCCAATGAATCTAATTCAACGGTTGTAAACACTTCTTGAGTTTATCTTTGGTGATGGCCGGTGAACCGAGTTAGTCGTTCGTCGGCTGAAGGTTTCTTGACCATTATGCCACATATTTGTGCTGATCTGCTCTTTTGGTGACAAGGAAAGTGGATTGGTGGCCAAGTTTGTTACAGCTCGGGGACTTAGGTTGCGTATTAGCACCGAGGTACAAGGGACCATTATTGTGTTTAACATGCCGCAGATATTAAAATATGAACGAATTCGTAACTGGTGTTCCAACAACCCAAACCGTTTAAATATTGGTCAAATCGCGTATGTGTGGGTCAAAACTCAGTGTCGCGCAGTATTGCAAGCTGGCAGCTTGAAAATGCAATAACACCAATATTAAACGCAGCTAGAGGCTTTGAATTCTGTGTGCCGTGAAAGGAGTGCCTGTACTAGACGCATAAATAAAAAGGGAACTTTAAATTTACTATTTTTTTATTCTCGCATTACCATGGACTTTGCATAACCACATATGTGCGATGTGTGTGAAACACCTCAGGTTAACACTACTGCTTAGCTGGCTAGATCGCTCAACATCCTGTATGAAGTACTGTCGCATATCTCATGGGCGGCCGACCATACACACTGTAAATGTAGAGGTAATTTTGTTGTTTATTCGTCTTTTATAGATTTTGAAAATCAACATTCTAGCTCAAAACAATAAAAAGAAACATACCCAGGCAATTCAATATCAACTAAGAACATAAAATATATTTGACCAATTTGTTTGATCTTTTCGGAGAACTTGATTCTAATGAGAGCAAGCGAGAAAAGTTCAATTGGCTGAGATCGACACAAATTCTTGCATTGCTATTTTGGATTGCTTAACCATTAATTTGATGTAATCTGGATATGTATTTGGTCAAATCTCGCTAATATTAAATGAAAAACTTTGGGTTGGCAAGCATCAAACGAAGTGATCCAGCATCGTGATATGTAATTTCCGAATAGATAATTTACTTTGACACCCTTCTCAGCTTAGAAAGACGTCCACTTGACCCATGGAGCCGAACTAAAAAGAAATATTGACAGTCACTTTCCGAAAGAACATGAAAAATCATGGAGTGTGATAATTATGTGGCATATTCGACAACGCAAAGACCTGTTAAACATTTCAGAACTTTAAAGGAGGATGGCATGGGCTTCTAAGTTAAAACCACCAATAAGTATCTAATATAAATAATTGCTTCTTCTTCAATAATTCTTAACGCGCTTCAGAGGACTGCAAACTAAATGCGTTTAGCTTTCCCGCACATTTTATTTGTCTTTTGCATGATTAAAGAGTGCTATACTTGGGCTTACCTTTCTTTTGTGAACTGAACCTTAAGTCAGCTTTCGGACTACAAGGCACACGTGTTGAGAGCACGCACTATAAAAAAAGAGCCGCACAGTACATAATATACTTTTATTCGACCTCCTTTTTGTGCAGTACGTTTTTTTTTGTCTGATCAGAAGCGCTGTGCGATCATGTGATGTTTTTCTGGAAACAGCCCATGACATGACGCTACACGTGAAAGAAACGAAGAGTAAAATACAGGGCATATTTTTTTAACTGTATTTCGTTATTTTGTTCGCGTGTAATATCCGGCATGATGTGGCCTTGGAAAAACGCAGGACGTTCCTTGCAGCTGTTAACACATACGCATCACACAGTACAGTACTACAAAATCTAGAAAGAAAACGATTGCAGAAAAAAGCAGCATTGCTCGGCTGCAAAAGGATAAGTCGCGCCTTGTACCTTGTTTCGTGAAAACTAGAACCGAGTTGTCCATTCGCCCAGTGTAGAACTATTAAAAAATGACGCGCAATCAAAGTAAAATATTATATAGTGTATTCCTTCTGGGAGGCATGGGGTAATTGAAAAGAAAAAAAAAACGATCATGAATGTGGGTTAACGATATTCGATCGACTCCCCTGCTATGAACTCGAAACCTAAAAAGTTATATCATAATTTATTAGTGTAAAGTCAAAGTCAAATTATATACACCACTAGTCCTGAACCCCTATGTGGGACGTGTGGCTCCCAGATTTGTGTTTATTTCTTTTAGGAAATCCGCAGTTTATTTGTTTCTAGTTTTTCATATAAATTTTGGGATTTGGAGACGTAGAATGTTTTTAAACATTAAGATTTTTTTTCTTAAAATGAAAAAAAGCGCAAAAGACGGAAGACAAGTGGAAAAAGTACACAAACACAGCGCTGATTTACACCTACTTGAAACATGAATGCAAGTGTCTAGACAAAGATCCCACTGTAAAGCCTTTTCAGCCTGCAATGAACAAGAAACTACGACCCGATCGACGTGATGGTAACGGTTTATCAGAATGAGAACATGGCGCATGTCCCCCGCGTGACCCCGTTGCCCACTTCCTCGTCGTCCCGTGTCCATTCTCCAACATCCTCGCACCCAACAAAGTCAAACCGACGGTTTCGTCGAATTTCTAGACGGTAAAGAAGTTGAACGGATCTTCTTTTCACGCGACTTCCGAGTCGAATAGTTCAGGCACGCACTTTCCCATCTGCAAAGTTCTTGTCGACGACGGCCAGATGTCAAAATGTTCTTGGGCGATCGTTGTTCCTGAGAAGCGCAACATCTCTCACTTGAATGCCGCTTGAGACAGATAAGCCTACCGTGTTTGCAAATTGCAACTCCAAGCGGCCAAATCTGAAATATTTCACATTACTTGTTCTTCGCCGCTGGCTCCGTGTGAGCATTCGCTTCTCGGGAACGGGAGTAGAACATTTCTGCCACATTCTGGTTATCCTGGGTGGAACTTCGAGCCCGTCATCGGATGACGACCCATTGTACGAGCTACCACGGCGACGCTTTTTCATTGCAATATCTTGTATTTCCATCAAAGGCTGTTCAAAAAGAGCACTTAAATTGAGCCCCGCTTCGTCATTCACAAAGTCCTGGTAGCGGTAACCGTTGCTCTCGCAGAACGTTCGCAAGAGATGTCTAAGGGTTTCGGTAGAGATTTTGTAACCCAGTGGTTCACTTGGCCCTTGCACACTCTTTTCTATGAGGCCACGAAGAACTTCGCCAACTGCGTCACCATATTCCCCCGCCTTTCGATTTGCTGAGTCATTCAGCTGTTCCTTCTTTGATGCAAACGTCTTCGAAGGTGAACTCATAATTCGTCCGGTTCGGTCCCGTTTACAAAATTTCTTTCCGTCGACGCTGACCACTTTGCCCTCCTGAATCTCAGTGAAAACGCTTATGAGGCTGGTCGGTCTCAGAATGTTCCCCCGTGTTTCAAGAGCACCAGTGGGAGTCTCTTTATCCCCCTCCCTACTATTGCTCATGACGTTCACGTCAGGGATTCCACTGTCCTCCTTAAAGTTACTGGCACTCAGCTCGCGCTGGCAACCGACAGGCTCCGATACTAGCTGAGCGCCAGCTGCTTCCCGTTCATCTTTGAAGCCAGATATCCTGCTATTACTGGGGCTATTGCAAGGTGTCAGCGCCTTAGGCGCCCATTTCAGGGCCTCCGGTTCGTCGGATTCCAAATCAC